TATTTTATTTTTTAAAAATATAAAGAAGAATAAGGTGAGTTGGCATAAAAAAAATTCCACATATAATATGTTTTCAATTTGTTTTTGCCACGTTATCAAAAAAATTATAAAAAATGCCACGTAAGCGAATTAACGATCGAAATTAACAGAAGGACTAACGGAGTGCATTTTGTATAGTTGAGGGATCAGAAAAGTGCAAAAAATTGTTAAGGGACCAAAAATGTGCAACTCACTAAAGTTGAGGGACCAAATTTAGCATTTAACCAAATTTTTACCATCAAATTTTCTATTTTCAATAATTGAGATTTATCATTTGTTTAAATGAAAAAATAATTATTTTTAATAAATGTTAATATATCTTAATTATTGAAAGTAGAGAGATAAATAATTGAGATTTTATATAAATATAGTGTGTTAAACTTATAAGTAAGTGAATTCCTACTCTTTTATTGTAATTTTGTATTTTTTATTTATTATATTCATGAATTTGTGAATTTCCATAAAGAGAAAAAAAAGCGCACACACATGATTCTGAGGAAGTTCTCATGAGAAAATTATAATTATAATTCGTTCATCTTGACAAATAAAACTAGACAAATAAAAATAAGTTAATCATAATAATTGTTATAAATAGGATTGTATTATCAATGAATTAGTAGTCTAAAAATAGAGTTTTAAATTCAAGTTTTATAAATAAAGAGACAAGTGTTGGGAGAGATTCTTTTTTTATGGAATTTGACTTGACTCAGCTCTGAATTTATAGGAGTCCAATGTGATATTTTGGATATTGGACAGTTTAGTGTTATATATATGGATCATGATTCATGCATCCCCCAGTTCAACACTTAAGAGTGCACACTCTAAATAATCAAATAATTTTAAAAGTGAAATTACAAATTTACCCTTTCCTTTTTTTTTTTCCTCCCAAGTTCTCCAAGAAAGCCTAGTTTGGGTTCTTCTTGGAGAACCCAGACTTGGGTTTTGGAGAACCCACCTCTTCTTCTCTCTCGATTCTTCTCCCTTTTGTAGATCTAGACCATCTCCTTGCATCTCATCATCATCACAACCTCCACCTCCATCACCATCGAAATAGAAGGAGAGGGGCAGAACCATAGATCCCTCTGTTTTCCATCACCATCGTCACCATCACTACCATCATTATTGTCATCGCCAAGCAACCCCCCCCCCCAAAAAAAAGGGTGAAGCAAATCTGGTTTTGGGGAAGGAGAAGAGTTCGACAGCTAAAAACACTAGATGGAAAGGGTTGAGGAAGATGTAGAGACAAGAAGAAAAAGGAGTATTGAGAGGAAGATGACTTTTAAGGTAAAATTTGTAATTTTATTCTTAAAATCATTTGGTTATGTAGAGTGTGCACCCCCGGGTGTTGAATCGAGGGATGCACAAAGCATTTTCCTATATATATATAGGATTGTAGTTACACCTTAATTCAAATCAGATAGTTCATTTTTTGGGATTAAAAGTTTTGAAAGCTTACAAAGATTTTTCCTCTTTTTTTTTTTTTTTTTTGAAGAGTTTCAAGTATCTCTTTTGGTCAAGCTTAATAAATTCTATGATTTTATATTTAAATTTTATAATTGAATTTTACATTTTTGTTCATAAAACCAAACACAATAAAATTGCTAATTAGTTTATAGAATTCTCGATCAAACTAAACATAGTAGTATGGAAATGCAAATGAATTTTATGATATTTTGAGAAATTCATTGAAACCTAACACTCTTAGAATTGAATCCCTTTCAACAAAGAATTAATGAAGTAAATGAAAAGGGGGAAAATGATCTTCCATTGAATAATCTAGTAAAGTAGTAATGAATTGACACCCTAAGGAGTGTTTAAACCAGTTAAAAGCTTAAGATTTTAGCTTAGAGATTTTGGATTCAAATCTTTAAATCTGAAATCAAGTGGTGAGAGAATTGGGTAAAGAGAAAGGTGATTGCTTTCATATAATCTATCATCAAATATATTAAAATATATATAGTAATGAATTGATGAGTAAGGGTAAGCATTGGGTATGAATACACCCATTATTTGTTAGTATCTTACTTATTTAGGTAAGTACCATACCTAGATTGTATAAAAATTGAGTAAGTAATGGGTATAAAAATAACATATTTATAAGTATCAAGTCAAATAACAAATATAGGAGTTCAGAACATTTAACTAACCTATTTAATTGATTTGTTTAATTGATTTGTTTCCTATAATAAAATTTTACATGCATTTATTATACTTAATATTTATATAATAACAATAATTTTTAAAAATAAAAATAATAAAATAAAATAAATAAAAATAAAAATTAAGTAAGACCTACAAATTAAACAAATCATACATACAACAATAATAACTTGTATAAA